ATCTATGTTACCTCATCTGGTTCCATTGATGGCAATCATCAAATCCAGACCTCGAAGAAGGGTATCACGCTCTGATGATGCCACTCCCTGACCCACAAACACTGAAGCCTCTCACACTCAAACCATTCCCCAACCAGAGAGTCCCATACATGTTATTCCTATTAGACAAGTTCCTTTTGAGGAACCACAACACCAACCATGGTATTATGTCACACCAAGAATGACTAGAAGTCAAGCAAAAGGAACAACCAAGTTGAAGCTTTTTAAACAAAAGAAGGGAACTGTAATTTCTGTGTCTGATGATATTGACTCACCACCCGAGAAGGAAACACCACAGAGCAAGGTGCACAAATCAACAAGGGGAGACACTTCTAACCCTTTGGACACTTTAGCAGATGCTGTTGATATGCAGATGATCACACCACCAGCCTCCCATGACAACACTTCCGTCAATACCCTCAAGCCAATATTGGCATCCTGTTGAGGCAATCTGTTGATGAGGCTATTGCATCCTCTAATGAAGTTTTGGGTATAAAAAAAACAACCATCACACCCACTGTCACCATGGTTAATGTTGAACCCACTATGACAACCAAAACAACACCTAAGGGTAGTTCTTCTTGTAAGCAAACTGTGAGTGAAGCTCTTGCAGCAATGGACAGGTTCATTGGAGTGGAGCCTTCCATTGATCAGACACCCATTAAAAAATATGTTGAACCAACCCCTATGAAGCCAGCCTCTGTTGAACCAACTCCTAATGAACCAACCCTTGTTGAACCTATTGACTCTATTTCTGAACCTGTTGAAACCACACCTGCTGAATTAATACCTATTGCTGAACCAAATCCTGTTGAGACCACAATCCCTTTACCTGCCATTGTTTCAATCCATGAATTGGATTTTGCCTTAGGCCTTACATCCTCAAACCCACAAATGCCACCTAAATCAGAGACCTCTAACACACCCCTGTTCATACTGAACCTCATGTATCACCATCACAGTCACCATAATCCACCTAACCCCCTGTGCATAGCCCTGCTAATAAATTTGTACAGGCTGATCAAGAAGACCTGACACTGCATAGCCTAATAAACTCTGGAACACATGATTACTATAAAATGCACACCTATTTGCATAATAGTCTTGAGAACAGCAACCAACAAGATGAACAAGAGAGGGAAGAACATGATATTGGTGCAAGTTTGAAATCCAAAACAGTAAAGAAGAAGGGTATATCAAGAATTAAGACCAGAAGTAAAAAGAGGAAGAGGGTTGTTGTTGAGCAATATGATGATGAGGCAGCAACAAAAAGAACAGCAAGGAAGAAAGGCAGATAGGGAAGAAATATGATTCTGGGACAGGTACATACCTTAAACCCAAACATATCTTTAGTACACCACTTGCTAGAAAAACATACTTGCAGTTTTTCAAAAAGAATCGAGTGGTGCCGAAAGGTTTTTCGCAACAACTTCTAATGGCCAATCCCTTAATAAAAGCTATTATAGACACTTTGGGATGGGAGGCATTATGTGAGGTCCCTAACCAGTACAACATAAATTGGGTTAGGGAGTTCACTGAAGTAGCATTCATTGATGGGGTAGATTTAAGGGTAAAACAATACCCATGTCTCCTACTCGCCTAATGCATTGAATGACCTCCTGGATCTCATACCCCCTTCACATTCAGAATTAGATAGGTTATCTGCTAGGTGTTCTGATGATGAATATGATGAGATACTTATTAGAGTGGCCAAAGAAGGGGTAGTATGGAACTTTAAGGGAAGGGCTAGGCTGTTAAAGACTCGGTATTTAAAGCCTGAAGCCAACTTGTGGTTTTACTTCATGAGATATACACTCCATCCAACCAGCCATGATACCAACCTGTGCCTAGAGAGAGTCCTAATCCTCTATTGTATCCTTGAAACAAAACCATTTGATATGGGTAAAATGATTTGCTCTAACATCAAGGCATGGGTAGAAGCTGTTATACCCCTCTTTGATCCAAAGTTGCTACAAAGGGACAATTCTTGGCTCTACACTCGGATCTAATGTGTGTGGAAAAAAATTTCATAGATAAGAAGAATCTGGACAGACTTTTGAGGGTAAAGGCAAAACCTCAGCCTGAGACAACAACTTCTGCCATGGAAACTTTAAGAGCTGATTTACTGAAGCAATGGAGGTGCATTCCACTGCTTTGAAGCAGACTATCCTGAAGAAACACCACAAGTTGTTGAGAAAGGTAACTGAGATGAAGAAAGAGATTGATATCCTGAAGAAGGAAAGGATACAATGGGCACAATACAAGCATCGGAAAGATAAAATCATGAAAGCCTCTCTAAAACATGGCAAGGCAAGGACTGCCATTGAGTTGCCACCTCTCCCCAAGTCTATCCTTCTACAACACTCTGAATCTCCTACTCAATCTGAGTAGGATAGGTTCTACCACTCACCCTTACTTTTGTATAATAATTTGTTGTTTAGAGTCTTATGTAGGTAATAGTTATGGCATGATCATTGGGTTTATGTGGTATTGTCATTTGCTGATTTCATTTTCTATCATTCTCTTGCTGTTGCTATTTTCCATTTGCAATGTTGCATCTGCTGCTTGTTTTTTGCTATCATCATCTGCTGCTTTTATTAGTTGCTATGCATAAGAGATAGTTCATCTCTTTAGGGTCAATTGTGTCTTATAGATGTGGCATGTTGTTCAGCCTATTTGGGACATTTGTTGTTTCAGTTTGCTATTTTCATTTGTTATTTCCATTTACTGTTTTCATTTTTTGTCTTTCTTTGTTATTTTAACCAAGTCTTTTGTTGTCACATATGCTGATCATTAGGGTCTGTATGATGCACATTTACTAAGGTAAGTCTAATTTGCTGCTTTTAACATTATCTTAGGCTTATTTCTATTTTCATGAGTAGAAATCTTGTAGGGATAGTTTAGACTGCTATTTGTTGTTTTCATCATCTCAAAGAGTTCACTGTTGATCGTCTTCAACTAATTGATGATCTTGTTTTCTGTTTGCCCCAATTGAGGCCCTTTGCTGTTTTAAGTTACTGTTTTTACGCATGGCAAACCAGTACCAGTGATCTTGCATCATCTTTTTGCTAATTTGTTGTTTTAAGGATAATAGCCACGTCTATTGCTTTTGTTGTTTGCTCAATTGGTATGATGCATATGTGCATGTTAGGACATCTTTTGATGCAATTATTTTTGGCCAATTTATGTTGTGTTTATGGCCATCTTTGCTGTTTTATAGTTGATCAATGGCAATCCCATTGTTTTGTTTTCCATTGCTTTGTTTGATGGTAAAACAGTCCTTTATGGACTATTTGTTTGGTTGATGCTCATCCCTACTCTTAGGTCAATATGACCTATGGTTGGATTTTTTTCGTCCTTATTGTTGAGCTTTATTCAAAGTTGATCAAGTCACACTTGTGACTAATCATCTTTGTTTTTATGTTTCAAAAGTATTTAGCTTTGAGTCATTTTAGTTTTGAACTAATCAAGTCACACTTGTGAGTAATCATCTTTGCTTTTATGTTTCAAACTAGAATTCTGGGAACTGATTTCAATAACATGCACTTCGTTATCCATCTATGCACAAAAATAGAATAAATGATGAGGTTGTTGTACAAATGCTTGACTTGATGTTATAAACATAATAATCCAAAGCTTACCCATCTTTGTTTTTTGAGCCCCTAGAACTAGCCAACCATTTTTAAAGCATTCCATTTCATTGATTCATTTAGGATTTCATTTCAATTGACCAAATTTGTAGCCTTGATACACACAGAATGAGGACATTGCTTCCCTTAAGTTTGGGGAAGGGTCCTAAATACACACTATAGAACACCTGAAACACATATACTAAGACCAAAAGACAAACAAAGAACAAAGTTCTATGTTTTGTGCATAAAAAGAGTGTCAATGTACACCAATTTGTTTGGAAAGGGCCAAAGTGTCCAAACATACCTCAATATGAGATGCATAGCAGTAAAATTATGCTATGGAGTGAAAACAGAGATGAGGGAAAAATGCATGCATTAAAAAGAAAAAGCCAAATGCAAAACCCAATTAAAAGTCCCAAAACCTTTGTTGAATTTAGTGTAGCAATGAAAATATAGGCTAGCTTATGGTTTGGCAATATCAAAGACTTAAGTTTGGGGGAGCTAAGTTTATGAAGGGCTATGGATATCAAGCATCAAGCACGAGTAGAGCACTTCATTCAAAAAATTTCAGAAACAAGCACACTTTGGCTATTAAACGATCATGTTTCAAAAAAAAATTTTAGGTTGTTAGAAATTTGAGTGTTTCAATCTGTCATTTTGGTTGTTTGGGACAAATAACAATTCAAGTTTGGGGGTGTGACAGGCGTTAGTTTTTTAACCCTACTAGGTGTGTACCTGCGCAATGCGGCGGAATGTAAATTGAAGAGGAAAACTTACCACAACTTAGGGGCCGTTTACCAAATACTTATCCGGGTAAGCGCTTATCAAGTCACATTACCTCACCGGATGAATATGGCAAGGACTACGAATTTTACCCGGTAAGAGCGAGACAAAGACCATGAGCTTTACCCGGTAAGTGAGGGCAACGACGCTTACCACGATAAGTGCTTATTGGGTGAATTGTTGCATATAATGTAGCTTTAATAGATTAAAATCTTACCCAGCAAGTAACTAATAGTGTTAAATTTTACCAATAAGCACTTACCAGGTAAGTGTTTGGTAAATGGCCTCTAAAATTGTAAAATTGTAACATTTCACCAACTAAAATTGAAAGTAAAGAATGGTCTTTACATTTGACAATGATCATAGTATTCAAGAACACAATCTACAATGCTTACTATCTTTGAAAAAGAAGACTTGTTACTAATCAAGAAACACAATTGAGATGACAAATACAACCGAAAAGGGTTATATGATTGCTTCATAGCAATGATGGATTGTTTTGGAAGATAAATTTTTTTAAAGAGTTCAAAAATTGCATCCACAGAGGATTTGAAGTTTTAATTTTAACCACAAAGTGAACCACTTCCTTGTCGCCGTCGATTCAATTACAATTGCTATCATCCAGAATAACACATTCAAGTATTGAATCAAATATCATATCAAACCAATAACTCCAAAATAGACAACAATTCTTTCCAATTGGTGAAGGATTCTTACACCTTTTTTTACCGGATTCAATGTACATGCTGGAATTTCTAATGCCTTTATCTGCACAAGCTTTAGCAAAATGTGTCACACCGTCACATATTTTGCAACAACCTCCCTATGGAACAACAATATTAACGTAAACTCAAAAAGAAACATTCAAATTCTATTAAAGAAGTCGAAAACATCATTTCTCCTTAGCCAACACACTCACAATGAAGGCAAAAACACGAAATTATACCTTGTATGGATATAGTTGTTAGTATGAATTAATTGGTCTTATTTTTAAGTCATCTGGAACTCTTCCTAAAAGATAAAGTAGACTTTGTAGTTGGAGGTTCATCACTCCTAAACACAATAAAATAAATAAACATAGATCAAATACAGAGGTTAGAGGCATATTATAACCTTATTTATTTACAGGTTTACTTGAATTAAACATCTTCTGCTTCTTTGCTTCTCCATCCTCCTCTATTGCTCCTATAAAAATCTCTCTCTGATTTAATGTGGTATCAAAATAAGAAACCCTAACACATCATGACTGACATATACAATTTTCCAAAATACTGGTATGAGATGAAATTCAATAAACAACAATTCAACAAAAATCAAAACATATTTTTGGTCAACTGATTAACATGACAAAATATTTGTTTAATAAGTGGATAACCAATGACAATCTATTAAGGGTTTAGAAGAACAGAAAGGGATTCTATTTAAGGGACCGTTTAAAAAACATTTAACCGGTAAACGTTACCGGTAAAATTTAACACTATCATTTACATACCGGGTAAGATTTTAGTCCACCAAAACGGTTTCGTATGCAACAATTTACCCGGTAAGCGCTTACTGTGATAAAGTCGTCGCCCTTAGGGGTGAGTACGGGTCGGTTAGGGCCATAAAAGGACGAACCCGATCGGGTGTCGGGTGAGAAAAGCCCACCCCATATTATGCAATTCGGGTTCGGGGCAGTTCGGGTCGGGCTCGGGTAAGAGATGCTTAGGACTAACTCACAATTATTAATGAAGAGCCAACAAAACAATCCCACACTTATACATGTTTTAAACACACGTATTTGATCAACATGACAAACAATAAAAGCAAATGGTAATTAGATAAGAGTCTATCTTTTTACCGCATTGAATTATGAGATGGTGCCCAAAGAGCACAGATGACACAGAGAAGAGAGAACGACAAAACTTGCCAGAAGGCAGGGATGATCCAAGCATTTTGCCATTGCATGTTGTATATACCAGTTGACTTGAAATAAAGCTGAAAGAAAGATGATGCATGCCACATTGTCAAAAGTTCACATTTGATTCATTTTAGGTTCTAAAAGTTTAGGTTCCTAAACATCTCAACCGCTTGAGGCCTGTTCCCCATAAGACTATGCATAAAGAAAGCATATTGTTTCTGTAAGTACAATAAGCAAGTCATTAATGTTCTCATCACTTGGAAAAAGCTACTCCCACTTAAACAAATTTCCTTTAAGTTTCCTCCATCCATAACAGAAGTAATATATGTGCAAACGGTATATGAACTCAAACCATAACAAAAGCCAAATTAATGAGAGGTAATATATGTGTAGTGGGGTGAATATTACTGTGCAAACAGTGACATAACAGAAGCCAAATTGAACTGTATATGAATTCAAATCGATCAAATTGATACAAATCTAAGCATATAATGTCGATTTGAACAGAAGCCAAAACATACACAACAAAAAAGTATACACAAAGCATACATAAACACAGGATCGGAATGAAACTTTCTGCTGTACAAGTCTCCAAGCCACAAAGACGAACATGGTGGGAATGAAAAGCAGTCAAGTGAATCTAACTATTAAGAGAGATAAACTACTGGGTTTTTAACAAAAACGAAAAGGGGCGAAGAGGAGGAGAGAGCACATTCAAGAAAAAGGGGAAAAGGGAAGTCTTACCTGCTGAATTCCCAATCCTTTAAAACCAAACCTGAAAACTAAAATCAACAACAATAGCTATACCATTAATCTATTAAAACCAAACCTGAAAACTAAAATCAACAACAGTAGCTATACCATTAATCTATTAAAACCAAACCTGAAAACTTAACTAATATCACAAGATTTTGTCATATAACTACGATGCTAGGTCTCATCCTTTCAGGTTTTGAGGATTGCTTCTTGATGAGGGACAAATGAGAGTAGAAGATGAAGAATTTTGTAATCGACAACAAGCAACACTGCAGTGAAGGTGTCGATTATATAATTTACGAAAACCCTTCACAAACAGAGAAGGTGTCGACCAATAGACTCGATAGGATTTTATTGAGAGGAAGAAAGCGATAAAAACTTACCTGAGGTAGGAGCGATGGAGATGAAAGCAATAGTTGGACAATAAGAAATCCCTAAACGTATATATTGGGAAGATGGATTTGAATCTCATTGGAAGCTTCAATCGTCATTTGGAGATGGATTTAATAAGGAAGCTTCAATCGTCATGTGTGGGAAGATGGATTTGTGAATAGTCATGTAAGGGGGAACTGATGATTGAGCGGCTAGTATTGGGAAGATAAAAGGTTAGCATTGAAGATTTAAATTTTTAGCTTTAATAGGTTGTATTTCATGCTTAGGGCATCTCCAGTGCATGACATTTTACCCATGGATTGCCACATCAACATTCCACTCATCATACAACTCTATCATTTTATACCCACACTCCATAACACTCCAATGAGTTTAATGGATTTTCACATCATATATATATATATATATTATCTATAAATATAATTTTACCAACAAATTTAAAAATCTACTAAAAACAAGGAATAATACATTAAAATGAAAATGAAACGAAATTAAAATACATTTAATAAAAAGTACGAGACTAAAATACATCAGTTGAAAAGTACCAAAGCTAGAAAATGAAATGCTTAAACACCAAATAATTTAAAACTATAAAACCTAAACGCATATTAAATAAAAAACGACGATGCCTACAAATTATATTTTATTATGAAATGTTTTAGTAATTATGTTGTTTTTATAAATTAAGAAAAATAAAAATAAAAATAAAAATTAATTTATTGATTAATAAATATCATATTATAGTGTATATATATATATATATATAATATTATAATTAAATCCTTACAAATTTAATTATAAAAATAAAATAAAAAATAAAGGGTCCCATTTTCCTCCATGATGCGTGTCATCCCCATTGAACTCCCCTCCCATTACACTCTCCATGATACCCTTCACAATGCATGAGGGGTGTCATGGTTCCCATTACACTCTCCATGGCACCCCATTGGAGATGCCCTTAAAATATTGTTTTTAAGATTTTTAGCTTTAATAGATTGTATTTTATGATTAAAATGTTGTGTTTAAGACTTTTAGCTTTAATAGATTGTACTTTATGCTTACAATGTTGTTTTTAAGACTTTTATGAAATTTGCTTTATAAGATAGTATAGATTACATCATTTTTCTTAATCATTTTCCCTTGTTTTATTTGTCCATCAGTGTCTTAATTGAGCCCCTTTATGCCATCTCTATGTTATATATATATATATATATAGGGCTGGTTCAAATACTAACCAAAATTATCGTGTTAACTTTGTTAACCGATCTTGGTCGTTGATTTGAACATCAAACGGTTGTGATTTAATGAGACTAAAAAATTAATTATTTAATTAATATATTAATGAAACTTATATGAACAACGGTTTAGAGGGTATTTTTGTAAAAAGTAGTGCATCCTAACATAATCGATATTTGTCAGGCGATTTCGTAACTTCCAATTAAGCACGAAACCGTCAATCTCTTCGATCAATAGTGTAAATCATCAGCTAAAAATCTAGTTCAGAATCTTCATCAAACGATGGAGGATTTTGGTGAATTACCAGTCGAGAGCAACATGATAAGAGGTATATTTACAAGAATTAGGGCTTTGATCTTTGATCATACTTGCAAACCGTTCACATCTGATCATTTTTTACTTCAGAAAGGAGAAAAGTGAGAGAATAATGAAGAAATATTCATTCTCAAACTTCAAAAATACAATCGACAACCCTGTTGATGTCGATGAAGAGCAAGACAACACGAAATTGACTGGTCGACGAGGTACTAAGCAAGAAACTAGAGAAGGAAAGCAACCGTCAACAGTAGCAGATGAAGTTTAAAGAGGTAAATAAATATCAAGGCTTTACTTATAAAAAGATTAAGTTGTTAGTTCTATCGATTAAGTGACACACACTCGATTCTTTTCAATAAATACAAGTATGTTCATGTGTTGATTTTCAATATTTGCTTGTAATATGTAAGTATTTCATCAAGAATGAACATGCATGTAACATTTATTTTCATCTTGTTCACAAGTATCTCCATATGTCAGTTATTGGTCACTGCTTGATCGATTTTGATTTCATATATGTCTCACACTACTTGTTCACATTTTGTATCATAAGATGTAATCTTTATTTTGTGATGGGTACATTTGTCATATCATATAAGTCGTTCACATTGAGTGAAAAAGCATGATTTGGTAATTTATTAAAAGTTTAAGTTGTTAGTTTTATCGGTTAAGTGACACACACTCGATTCTTTTCAATAAATACAAGTATGTTCATGTGTTTATTTTCAATTTTTGCTTGTAATATGTAAGTATTTCATTTAGAATGAACATGCATGTAACATTTGTCTTCATATTGTTCACAAGTATCTCCGTATGTCGGTTATTGTTCACTGCTTGATCGATTTTGATTTCATATATGTTTCACATTACTTGTTCACATTCTGTATCTTAATATGTAATCTTTATTTTGTGATGAGTACATGTGTCATATCATATAAGTAGTTCACATTGAGTGAAAAAAGCATGAACAACTATACACATGCATTTACGGGTAGAGTGAACATCTTGAGAACAACATATCGATATATGTCGATTGATCAATCATTACTTGGTCGATTTTGTGTTCATACATGTGTCGCATTTTGATCACATTCTGTATCTAAATATGAACTTTTTATTTTGTGATTATTTCATGTATGGTATTACATATGTATTTTAATAGATATGCGACACATAGGGATGATTGATGACCCGTTACTTTTTAGAATAGAAAGGTTTGTTAATGTTTAATAACAGAGTACTTGGGGGCAATATGTCAAAAGCATATATTGCATGTAAGATATTATGTTCATATGTGTGCACCAAGTGAACATATATGTCGACCTTTTTGTTAACTCTCAGTCGTTTTTTGTGTTCATATTTGTATCTTCATCCGTACTTTCAATTTTTGTGATTATAACATGTATCATGAAATAAATGTGTATACAAAATGTAATACACATGACTGACCGAGGACTCGATTCGTAAGTGTGTTAGTGTTTGATTTTGTTATATTTAGGGCAATCTGTAAGTAGTTCAATTAAGATGTGAATACATGTAACACATTATTCTCACATTGTTCACAAGTGTCCGTATATGTCTACTTTTGAATTCATACCCAGTCGATATATGTGTTCATAGTTGTGTCACATTTGGGGGAATACGTAAATATTTCATTTAATGTGAGTGTGGATATTACTAGCTAGTGATATTGTTCACAATTGTTCACATATATCGATTATTTTATTCATACTTACTCGATTTTGTCTTCATAACTGTTTCGCACTTTGTTTACATTACGTGTGTTCATATGTGACTTTCAGTTGTTAGTGTTGATATGTCATAGAATAAACGGGTGCATACAATGTCACACATATGAATGATTTAGGAATCAAATTTTATTACGATATACAAGTTTGTTAATGTTTGATTTTCAACATTTGGGAGCAATATATAAGTAGTTCACTTAAAATGGGAATGCATGTAACATATGTGTTGATAGTCCTCACAAGTCTTCATATATGTCGCTTTTCTACTATTACGTAGTCGACTTTGTGATGTCATATCTGTGTCACACCTTCTTCAAATCCGAATGCTCATATTCAACATAATCTGTGAATATTCATGTGTCATATTGTAAACTGTCTAAATAAGTTGTTGCACACTATACAAAAATGTCGACTTCCATATGAAGCACTTGATCAACTCTCAAATTCAGATGTAACGACAATGAAGCAAATATATGTAACACTTGGTTTGGTTAGGATCACGATGAGCGACCAGTTGTCCGTGTGCTATTTGGTACACTCAACCCGTAGATGCATGTGTATAGATGTTCGGGTTGTTCATAATATAGATGCATGTATCGTTTCGTATTACAATATGGTCACAATTGTTCACATATATTGATTAATTTGTTCATAGTTACTCGATTTTGTCTTCATAGCTGTTTCACACTTATGTTCGCAGTAGGTGTATTCATATGTGACTTTCAGTTGTGAGGGTTGATGTGTCACAGAATAAATTGGTGTATAAAAATGTCACATATGAAAGTAGTTCACTTAAGATGGGAATGCATGTAACATATGTGTCAATAGTCTTCACAAGTCATTATATATGTCTATTTTCTGTTATTACGTAGTTGACTTTGGGATGTCATAGCTGTGTCACACATTGTTCACATTCTGAATTCTCATATTCATCATATTCTGTGAATATTCATGTGTCACATTGTAAACTGTTCATATTAATTGTTGCACACTGTACATAAAATGTCGAGTTCCATATGAAGCACTTAATCGACTTCCAAAATTAGATGTAACGACAATTATGTAAATATATGTAACGCTTGGTACAGTTAGGGTCACGATGAGCGACCAGTTGTTCGTGCGCTATTTGGTACACTCTACCCGTAAATGCATGTGTATAGCTGTTCGGGGTGTTCATCCCCGTGTCACATTTTGTTAACATCTGTATGTAAACATTTGTGACATTGTTTCAGTATTAATGTGTGCATATATCCAGTTTGTGTTAAATGTTTGAGTATATAATTCCATCCATATTCAACATAAACGTGAAGTACCACACGATAAACTTTATTGAATACCAAAATCTGATATAATGACGACGTGGTAAAATCTATATAACCCTTGGTTCAGGTATGATCATAATGAATCAAAAATTGAGGATTATAGAAATCATTTATAAGTAAAATTTTGTAACGTATTTTTTGAAAAATTTGATAAGTGACATCTTTTCAAAACTTTTATTTTTTGTCACATATCTTTCTTCTAGTGTAGTGTTTTTCCACATTTTCTACACTGTGGAAAGTGATATTATTTTCAAAGAAGAATACAAAAGTTTTAAATTTAAGATTTTTACATGAAGTCTGGATTTTGGCAAATACGAATAAATGAAAAGGATAAATATAAGACGGGCTTTAATGTACCATTTGGGTACTATGAGTGGAACGTTATGTCTTTTGGTTTGAAAAATGCTCCAGTTGATCATCATCTGTTGGTCACGGTTCCAGCATCTTCCTAAATCAAAACGTGACGCTGGCTGCTACGCTATAAAGGAAATAAGGTTGCGCCTTCACCAAGGCAATTGCTTTTGGTGTAATGGGTAAGCGCTTGATCCTAACAATTGGTATCAGAGC